ATGCGTTTTGAACAGGAGATTTCAACTCCGAATCATCAAGCGGTTGAGCCTGCCTCTCCAGGCCATTTCCCTTCATCCAAGCTGCGTTCCCTTCCTCATCACCAACTGCTCAACACCATCCTCGCCATCGTCTGAGTATCCCGTACGAACAAACCGCCAGGCTTAGAGACAAGAGACTACAACCGGTCATCGATCAACATAAGGGTGTCCAACAAATGCATCCACATTCCCCCGCGGTCCATACCTCGAAACCACTTGACTGGCATCATCCGAGCTGCTCTAATCGACTACCGGACACGACCTGCAAGCATTCGAGCCTTCGCCGCCTATTTCTCTAAACCCGTTTCGCAGGTGATATTTATACACCAGCTGCCTACCCTTCTAGCTAGGCAACCCCGCCCGCAATACGATGCTCGATAAGTACATCCATCAACAAGCACCCACATCCCACGCCTCACAACGACAAGAACACAGCTCTTTCAATCTTGAATCAATTCAGTCTAACAACTCCCTAGCCAACCCCCGGGCCAGCCGGTATCGCAATGATTCCTGCCCCAAATCCCCTTTACATGCCTCAAAAATTCTTTCCCTCACACAGCGCCTGCAATACAGACAGCCGCCCAGCCAGCCTTTCACGAAAGGGGACCCTGCAGCAGCGGCAAACTCCAGCCTGGGATCAAACACTCACTCACACACAACACGCGTCCATACAGGCCAAGGGTGTTTAGAAACTGAACATTACCAATTCAAGAGAACCAAAGGTAGGTTAGAGGTAGAGGTAGTGGTGCCGGCATCAAAGCCAAGAGAGGGAAATCTAAACCCAAAGCCAAGCTCTACAATGCATCCCATCCCAATCCATCCATCCATCCTCCAATCCAACAACTTTGTTCAACTTAAACATTAAACAAAAACAAGAAAAATAAAACAAGAAAACGCCACCACCCCCGTAGAAAGAGTCCTTCATCGGAGACTACCAGTTTTGCTGTGCTGGGGGTCCCTTTTGGTATCAAACAAAAAGACCGTTAAACAAGGGGGGCCCAAACCGTGACGCCAGTTCGTTACGTCAATGCTACCTCTTCACTCTTCCTCTCCTTCTTGGTCTTCTCCTTTTCTTCCTCCATCTTGGTTCGGCGGGCGGATTGGTTTGGGGGGTGGGGGTGGGGTGATGCTTTGAGAGTGTGTAAATGCTTTCGTCCATTTCGTATCGTTGCCGTCGTAGGCCGTCGTAGTAAATAAAACAGTACTTCTTTGAGAGGAGACATGGGAAAAGCCGGTCCCATGACGAGGACAGACACAATTTAGTCTGCGCGTCCGCGGTGGCTGCCCATCTTTTCAATGGAGCTCATGATGCCGCTCCTCGGTCCGAACTCGCTCATCGGCCTGGGGCGGGGCAGCCCCTTGGCTGCCGGGCCGGCACTGCCGGTGCGTCCGTGGCTAGCGATGGAACCGGGCGCCTTGAGGCCCGAGGTGCCGCGGCCGATGCTGCTGCGGAAGTTGGAGGAGGTCTCGGGGTGGCTCCTGACCGAGGGCGCGCGGGCGGGCGTCGTGGTGGTCTTGCGGGGCTGGTTGAACTCCAACTCGCGCTGACGCTCGCGCTCCCTCTCCCTCTCGCGTTCTCTCTCACGCTCCCGGGCAGCCTCACGCTCACGCTCCCACTCCAGCTCGCGCTGACGTTCCCGTTCGCGTTCGCGCTCCCGCTCGGCCTCCTGCGCGGCGTGGGTCTGCACCTGCATCATCTCCTCGGCAAGCTGCACGAGCTCGCCCTTCTCGACGCGCTCCTGCTCGAGCATCTGGCGCAGCTCCGCGTTGTCGTCCTTGACCGTCTGCACGACGGCCTCGAGCTTCTCGACCTCGGCGCTGAGCTCCTTGATGTGGGCGGCGTCGGTAATGGCGTTGGCCTTGAGCTCCTCGACCATGGCCTGTTGCGCAGGGTCCACGCGCGGGGTGTTGTCGCGGGTGAGATGCATCTTCTTGTTCTCCTCAGTGAGCTCCTCAATGCGGACCTCGAGCTCGTGCACCTTCTTCTCCCAGCGCGTCTCGTAGCTCTTCTTGAGCGCCGCGACCTTGGTCTCGTGCTTTCCCTTGTAGAGGGCGTGCAGCTCGCGGGCCACGCGCTCGACAGCGATCTCGACTTCCTTAGACGTCGCGGCCGCGCCGGCCTTCTTGTCGGGGGAGGAGCCCTCCTTCTCGGGCTTGCCGGCGCGCATGCTGGCCAGCTTGCTCTCGGCCTCCTGAGCCATGGTCTCTGCGGCCTCGCGCCGGCCTTCGCACTCGGCGAGCTTGGACTCGAGCTCCTCGCGCTCGCGGGTGCTCTCTACGATCTCCTCCTTCACGGTGCGAAGCACGGCTTCCATCTCGCGGCTGCTGTTCTCCCAGGCATCCTTCTCGTCTTCGATCTGCTCACGCAGCGCCCGCTCTTCGCGGGCCTGTTCCTGGCTCTCGCCGACGCGCTTCTCCGCATCGCCAACCGCGGTCTTGAGGGAGAGGACCTCGGCCTCCTTGCCGCTCAGCGACGCCTTCAGGCTGCTGATCTCGGAAAGGAAGTTGGACTTGAGGCTCTCGAGCTCACGCGGTGTGATGGTCGGAATGCTGCGAGGGGTAGGCAGCGGCGGGATATCAAAGTCGAGGAGGTTCGACATTTGGCGGGCGGGAGTGGCGGCGTTGGGGTTTCCCCTGGACGGCGACGTGGTCCCCCGCCGGGAGGGCGACTTGTGGGGAAACCTCTGGCTGTCGGTGAAGTCGAGCAGGTTTGTGGTGTTGCCCTCCTGGGCCAGTTGGTGTCGCGGAGTCTGCTCGTGCACGGTCTCGGGTCTGCCTCGCGGGGTCATACCGCCATACTTTTGCGGGGTGAGACCAAGCTTCGCAAAGGTGGTCAGGTTGGGGACGGCGGAGAAGGTGCTGAAGGTGCTCATCATGGTCTCGTCAGGGGCCAGACTGCTCTGGTCCTCGTAGCCGTGGGCCATGTCGGTGTGGTGGTCGGTGACGGGCTCGGCGATGGTGCTGGACGTCTCGTCGGCGGTGTTATCGTCCGTCTCCATGCCAGTGGTCTCGTCGTCCTCAAAGATCTCAATGGCATGCTTCAGGCCGTCGTTGTCGCGCATTGCGTCCTCGAGGCTCATGGTGCGCTCGCGTGGTGGAGAGTTTGAGGAGACGGAGACGGAGCGAGGCGACTCGACGGAAGACGGGTTGCTGACCCTGATGGGGAAGCGTTTGTCTGGGGAGATGAGTGTCTTGCGCAGCGGGCTCCGTGCTTGCTTTTCCGTTGTCTCGGCACCGGCGAGTATCTTGAGCGGTGAGGGCGCGGTGCCAGACATTACGCGAGAGTGGCGCTGGTTCTTGAGTGCCGTCGCCGGCGCAGAGGGCGGCGGCGACGGGGAGGAATCTGAGGGAGAGGGCGGCATGTTCTCGGTGTCGTTTGTAGAGGTGATTGTAGTGGTCGTCGTCGTAGTGGTGGTGGTGTTATCGCTACTACCATCACCACCGTTTGCGGTTGTCTCAGTGCGGGAGTGGACCTCGTAGCGGTGTTGCTCAAAGGAACCGCGGTTTCCTTCTTGTTCAGTAGGGGACGTGGTAACGTTAAGTCTGGATTCCTTTGCTGGGGACAGCGGCGTCATGGTGCGCAAACTGCCAGATTAGGTTTGCGTGGGCGGTTTCTTGGTTCTTTCTTTCCGCGCGGAGAGCTTTCGGGAGAGACTAGTAGAGCAATCGTCAATTGATTGATATTTCGATGGAATACCGAGCAAAAGCCATTTTGGGCTCGCTTGTGAGATGAAGGGGGTGGGAAGGGGCCCTGGGCTTGTTTGCTGTTGACAGAGCAACGACTACCGGGAGACAGAGAATGCACAGACAAAGGGGGGTGGGGCACTGGGCTCTGTGTCGCTACAGGTACGGCAAAATCCTACACCGACACACCGAGGTCAACGACGTTGAGTTTAAGGTGAGCGTTTTGTTTCATGGCGAAGGCATCACGATAGAAAGGCATATCCTGCGATCGATATCTGGTCTCAATCGCTTTCCATGAACTGAAGCAAGATGAGGGACCGTTTCGAATGTCTGAGCAGACGCCCGTCGCGTGCCCCAGGGCTTAACGCGTCAGCGCCATTGTGGCGCTATCCTTGCCGATCGTTTGTGGGAAACGCCTCTCCCAGTGTCTTGAAGTCTGGCCATAACGGGAATACCCGGGGTTCAGACGTCGAAACACTGAGAAAACAACCTTCAATTTGGAACATTTGGAAGTGACATTATAGCCAGCTTGATTTCTCAACTTTGCCCAACGGTAGCTGCACCTTTTTCAGAGTAGTTGCAAAAGCCAAACGGCCAACGGCAGGGCCAATTTCCACACCGTCGGACCAGGAGCACCAAATCTTTCGTGGGGCCGCCGCAGTCTAGCCCGGAACCCTCGTCGCAAAAAGTCAAATCGGCGCATAAGGGCAATCTCAATATTTCATAAAACGCATCGGGGCCAACTCCGGAGCACTGCCTACTCATGACGGTCAAAGGCCTCCGACGCACACGTTTAATGCCGGCAACACCACGGAACTCGTCCGCAAACCTTCAACGGATTAAACAGTCAAAACCCCAAGAGGTAGCGGAAGCGTGGGGGTGTCAAATGAGGTCGCAGTGTCGCAATCCGCGAAGATAACGCTAGCGAAAGGCGGACGAGTCATTTCGGTCCCATGCAGGGTCCTACCTCTCTCCAGACGTCCGGCTGGGCCACAGACGCCGCCGTCACGCACACACACACAAATGCACATTTGTCGAAGGCAGGAACCGGGACGTTGTCAAGTGACTTTTGACAGTAAAAGAAATGGTATTGAAGGATCCCAACGTCCAAGATGCAAACTTTTGAACCAGGCCTCACCAGATCCGCCTAGAATCCGGTGTTATAAGTACAAAAGTCCCCCCGTCTCCCCAAGACAGTGGTTAGGAAATGGCCGTTCCGAGTAAATGTTTTTTCCCCGCTCATAAATTTTTGTTTGAAGACATCAACGTTGAACCATTTACTTCTGGTTCTCGGGACGCAGAGAGCTGTGAGGGACAAAATGTTAGCTAGGTGAACTCTAGTGCGTTGATAAGTAGGGGAGGAGGGGTGGGAACGTACCGGACGGCTCTGCCGGCTCTCCAGATCTCCAGGTTGCGGATCTCCTCCATCTCAGCCTCGAACTTCTGGCGGTAGTCCTTCTGGCCGTTGTACTCCAGGGAGCGCTTGGTCTCGGAGCCGTCCTTGACGGCGTCATACAGGGAGTTGAAGACGGGCTTGAGGGCGTCCTTGAACTTGGGGGTCCAGTCGATGGCACCGCGGCGGGCGGTGGTGGAGCAGGCCTCGTACATCCAGTCCATGCCGTTGGCACCGATCAGGGGGTACAGAGACTGGGTAGCCTCCTCGACGGTCTCGTTGAAGGCCTCGCTGGGGGAGTGGCCGCGCTCACGGAGGACCTCGTACTGGGCAAGGAACATGCCGTGGATACCACCCATGAGGCAGCCACGCTCGCCGTACAGGTCGGAGTAGACCTCCTTCTCAAAGGTGGTCTCGTAGAGGTAGCCGGAGCCGATGGCGACACCGAGAGCCTGGGCCTTCTCCTTGGCCTTGCCGGTGACGTCCTGGAAGACGGCGAAAGAGGAGTTGATGCCACGGCCCTCACGGAAGAGGGAGCGGACGGTGCGGCCAGAGCCCTTGGGGGCGACGAGGATGACGTCAATGTCCTTGGGGACGTCGACGTTGGTGACATCCTTGAAGACGGGGGAGAAGCCGTGGGAGAAGTAGAGGGTCTATGGAAGTCAGTTCTGCCCAATTGAGCTGCCAATTGCACCCCAAAGTTCACGTACCTTGCCCTTGACGAGCTGGGGCTTGATAGCGGGCCAGGTCTCGGACTGAGCAGCGTCGGAGAGGAGGTTCATGACGATGGTACCGCGGGAGATGGCCTCATCGACATCGAAGAGGTTCTTGCCGGGGACCCAGCCGTCCTGCTGGGCGTCCTTCCAGGACTGGCCGTTCTTGCGGACACCAACGATGACGTTGAGGCCGTTGTCACGGAGGTTAAGACCCTGGCCGTGGCCCTGGGAGCCGTAGCCGATGAGGGCGAGGGTGTCGTTCTTGAAGTACTCCTGCAGGTCTCTGTTAGCTCCAATTGCTTTAGATTCCTCCCAAGATGCTCAAATGTGACTCACCAAGAGCTTCTCCTGGGGCCAGTCGGCACGCTCTGTGGCATGAAAGTTAGCAATCTCTCGCGAGTCATTGCGGGGTCAATTCTTGGGCTCGTCTCTCTCTTACCGTAGACGTCCTCCTTGTGGCCGGCGAAGTCCATGGTCTTGACACCACGGGTCTGCTGCTGGCCGGCGAAGGCCTTGGAGACCTGAGCAGAGGCGCGAACCAGGCTGCGGGCAGCAACGAAGGTGCGCTGCTGGGTAGCAGGCTTGGCCGCCAACTGGCGAGCCATGGGGCGAAGAGCCTTGGAGAAACCGCGGGAGGCCATTGTGAACTGTGGTTTTGGGGGAGGGAAGGGGAGTGGAGAGGGTATCCGTACAATTCAATTGTAAGGAAAGAGAAAAGACGAGGAGGACGGAATGATGAGAAAAGACAGAGTTCACCGATGGAAAAAGGCGTTTGGAATTGGGAAATTTTTTACTGGATTAGAGACGGGCGAGCTGACCCCCGACTTCGGCCCAGCTTGCCTCGTTGGTGGGTTAGCCTGCGTCGTCTGGCCTGTGCTCTTGTGTGTCCATGGTGGGGAAGCCATCTGAAGCGTCCGGGGCTCGGTACGGTGCCGCAAGGGGCCCGTCAAGTGGGAGGGCGGGTACTGGGGACTTGGGCATCGTTTGGAGAAAGCAGGGACTTTGCTGCGAGGTCGGGGTAGCCTCTACCTGGTCTGGACTTGAAGCAGTTCCTATTTGACAGCGGCCTTACCTAAGACCTCGGGGAGCAATCAACGTTATTGCCGGCGAGGCGGGTTCTGTGGACCAGCGAGCCCACCCCGCCGACCTCGTAGCCCAACCATCAGCGAAGAGTCACACACGATGGACCGTTTCCGGGCCCCTCACCGACAGCCAAATCGCCGGCTACGGCCCCCAGCTACGCCTGCGGTCGCGGCCGGAGGCCTATGTTCAGCTTCGTCGGCCCTTCTGTGACTCCTCTTTCGAAAGCGAGCTCCGACAGAGCTGTGACTCCTTCTGCTTGATTGCTTCTTGACGAGAGGCACACGCATCCGTGATTGGTCTGTTGAGTTTACTCTCGTAACACAGCAACGCTCTTTGCATTCCGGATATTCTTCTAGGCTGTTTCTCAAAACCGCTTCACAAACGCTTGGTGACCGTTGCTCTGCTTGCATCAGTGTCTCCATCTCCCCCGCACGTCGTGCGCCTTGGTCAGGTCTTCTCAGTCCATCTGCGCAAATAACCTGTCTAGCCAGACTGAAAGGATGCCTTTGCCCAATGTTCGCCTTCTTGATATCCGTAATATTGTATCCATGAACGCCGGACGATGATGCTATAGCGATGCCCACCGACCCCCCAAATGCGCGCATGCCGTCCGTCCTGGAACCCCGCCATACCCCGCTGGAGTGATCAACGCGACATCTCGGTTCCCGGGTCATCAGGAACCCAGTCCGGCTGGCCTGTTTCCTGGAAGGCCGAAAATCTATTTGCAGATGGCCATCCTATTTCAACACACGGTCGTAGCTCACTCCCTTGACTGTGCCACCGCCCATCGCCGTCCGAACGTTGCGCTTGAATCCTTCGCGGTTCAGTCTGAGGTCCTCTGCGGCTTCCTTGTTCAGCGGGTCGGAGGCGTTGGGTTCGAGGAAAAGAAACTGTAAAGGAGCACCGGTTAGTCGACGAGTTCAACCCGGGGCGGCCGTGGCTGATCCGACATACCTGTAGGCCGACAATAACGGCATTCAAGTTCAGCACCGGCTTCCAGTCCTCGCGCAGAATATTCAGGCAGACCTTGCCCTCGAGATCGATGTTGGGGTGATAGATCTTCTCCTTGCAGCGGACCTTTGGCGGCTCGTGGGGGAAATTTTGGTTGATGTCGAAACTGAAAGTGAAACGTCCGGTACGGTACATGCCCTCGTCGGGCTCGATGGTCAACGTGAAGTGGAGGATGTCGTCGGGATCAGGAAAGTCTGTCTTCATCGTAGAGCCGAGGGAAAGTTCCGACAGGTCTATATGCCATCCGTGTTAGCGAGAATGCCGTCGGCTTGTTCGTGATACAGTCTGACCCTTTTGCACTCGTAGTTGGGCGGCCGTCACCTTCTTCTTCTTTCCGCCAGCAGCGTCGGCATTTTCAGCCTTCTGCTGCTCTTTTTTCTAGGAATCAGTCAGTATGGAGCTTGTCCGGCAGGGTTCCGAAGGCTAGCTGACCATCGACCAAATCTTCAACATCTTGACCGATCTTTGGGGGGGTAATGCTGATGCAGCCGAAGGCGGGGCAGTCGGATGAAAGCGCGGGCAGGCGGAAAAGTCGCGAGTATCGCAGACCTTAAGCAGGCTCTCAGTCGTCTAGAGAGATTCGCGTGGTCTGGATTTCTCCGTAGCAAAAGAGTGGTTGTTTCCGTAGGGGTGTCGCGATTATGGCTTGCCACAGCAGAAGAACTTGGGCGGGCCGACTGGGCACCAGTCAATGCGGTCACCTAACTTCGCGATAAGATAGGCAGCTGCGTTTAACCGGGGTTCTACCGGGCCCGCTTTCTTTGTCTTGCCGCCTGTTGGTTGCTGACGGAAGGAACCAGCAAGGTTCTTGCTTCATCTGAGCGCTTGCAACCAACAACAAATACCTAGTCAGGTGAGTGGCAATCCGGTGTAATTCAGTCATTTCACAGTCATCAATGTCGATGTTCCGTTAGAAAGTCGAGAGATATGGTCTTGTATTAGGGACCGCCTAATATTCCTATGTCTGTGGAGGTAGATTCCTTCGTACTTAAAACTCAGCGTTTTGAAACTTTGCTTCGATCAAGGACGAATTTGAATCACAGAGAGACGACGATAGCGGACAATGAGGGCGGGCAACAACGGCAATGATGACGACAATAGCAACGATCACGAGCCCATAGGAAATATAGTCACTCTGGCACAGGAGAAACAGGTGTTCTCTTATAAAATCATATTCATTTCGTGGAATAGGATGGTCGAGTCATGTAAAAACGCCCGGAATGCTACTACTCAAATACTACTTTTACTGACCCTTTCGGCCATTTCATGAAGAATCTGTCGAGTCCCGTGCCCTTTATTACTAAAAACGCATACCCTGAATGCAAGCACCGACGGATGTCTGAAAATGGGCCAAAGATGGCAAGAGTACAGTCTTCCCTCTGGTATCCATACAACGACGCCGTAGCGTCGGCAAACCGCCTGAACACCACACCGTGAACCGATCACCGTCTGGAGAAGCAGCACATGATACCGGTCTTCCCCAAGAACCACAGGAAACCGAAGAAACGGACCAGGGAGAGGACAGCGGTAGAGTACAGCAAGAAGCTGAAGTACGAGGCAGTACGAGCGGACGCGGATTTCTGCTTAAAGTTAGTTCAAGTTCCATGTGATATTGGATGAATCGGGGACTTACGCCAATGCCGAACGAGTTGAAGTTATCACTCGTGATGATGATGATCAGGAAGGTGTTGGAGAAGAGCCAAGAAACGACCAGACCAGTACGGAAAGACTTGTACGAGTCCTCGACATCGGGCTTCTCGACTTCCTCTTCCTCCTTGAATGGCTCCAGAGCACGCTTGACAGTCGATTCGAACTGACTGTCAATATCCTCCTGTGGCTTGTCGATTTCCTCCACAACGGCTTCGTCCTTCTCGCCCTTGCTGACTTGGGCTGAAGGAAGCGCCTCGGCCTTGTCTGAACCCTTGGTACCCCAGGACACATCGTGCCAGTTGTTGAAGGCGTAGACCATGAGAATGTTGATGTAAGTCGACATGAGCACCAGGTAGTGAGGGAACGAGGTAAACATGTGCCAGGGGTCGAGGTACATGAAGGATGCGATGAAGTTAAGACCGTAGATAGTAACCAAGGCGACAAGAATAACACCGGCAGCGTTCGTACCTCCGAAGAAACTAGCAACAAAGTCTGCGCCAGAGTCCAAGCTGATCTGCTCGCTGATGGGCTTCTGGAACGCTTGCACGACCAGGTATGCCGAGAGAATCAGGATGTAAGACTGGATAAGACCGAAGACAATGAACGAGGCAATGTACGTGTACTTAGAACCCTTTGGTCTGTTACCCAGAGCGAGGATGAACTGCAGGATAACGAAGGCGAGGTAGAGGTACTTGAGCAGGGCGTTGAAGATGGGTGTCGCGGTGTCGCCAAAGGGCCAGCCGTGGCGCACCTGACTCTCGTCGTCGGAAGTGACCGGGTTGCCGACGAGATCCATGATAACCGTCGTGGTCAGGTAGTAGGAACCCAAACTGAACCATGTGAACATGACCTGGAGGATGTTGTAGATGAGTTGGACGTGGAAGAAGAACATGCGAATGATGTTGTGGCCGGACTTGTACATGCGACCGAAGTGCATGAGCGAGTAGAGGGAGGCAGCGAAGGAACCGTTGAGCCAACGACGACGCTGGGAGATGAACTCGGGAGCACCCTCGGGAACATCAGTCTCACCCTTGGCAGCCTTGATGTAGGACAAATGCCACTTCTGGCCAGCCTTGGCGACTAGTTCGAAGCAGAGAATACGATCCTCGGCCAAGAACATGTTCTTCTTGAAAATGTTCATTCCATCGATACCCTTCTTTCCGAGAATCTTGGAAAGAGTGTGGTCACCATGGAAGTACTGCTCCAACGGGCGACCCATAATCGCACGGAAGCGGTAGGCGGAGAAAGCACCGGGCAACACAGAGACATATCCGAAAGAGGACTCTAGGGGCTTGTCCAGAATGTTGGAGATCTTGTACTCGAAGTTCTGGACCGCCACGAGGGGGTTAAGCAGCTTCTTGCCGCCCTGTACCAGTTGTTAGTTCCTCAAATACACTCCAAATACACGGGAAACAAGGGAAACAAGAAAACCAAGAGAAACGAGGGGGGAATAACTCGCCTTGCCTAACATTGCATGGATCTCACCGCAAGCACCGCCGAGATCCTTGTCATTGTAGAATCCCTCCCACAAAGCGAGCAGCGATCGGGGACTGGGCTTGGTACCGGCGTCGATGAGGATGCAGACTTCGGGGTTCAGGATGCGGCCGAAGGCGTTGAAAAGCCATCTGTGGGAGTTGATCTTCTTGGTATTCTTCTGCTTCAGACAGAAAATGAATTGAACAGGTGGAAGAGTTGATGGGCCATCGTCAACCGGGCGGATGAGCTGTTGGTTGGGGGTGACGGACAGCTGGGTGGTGTACTCGAAGATGTGGGCCACCGTCTCCTTGCCGTCGACATCCTTCTTCACGACACCATCCTGGTAGACACCAATGGTGGCCAGAACGTCCAGCACGTTCTTGTCAGTCTTGTCGAGACCGTCGAAAACGAGGGCGACGAC